ACAGATTTTTCACAAAACCTTATACCGCAATACATAAAAGAAAGACCACAACATGTTGTTTTGAGACTAAAAGATGTAGATTTCACAAAAAAAATCAGGATGAATAAGGATGCATATTTGTTTCACATCAATGTTCTTCCCTTTTCGACAGTTTGTTTATGTGTTTTTGTTAACAAACATAATATAAAAAATGTTCATTGTGGTAAACGAAATATTAATATGATCCAAGTAAGATTTTTTTCTTCCCAATTTGTAAAAAAATCCTTACATGATAGAAAAAATTCATATTATTTTCAAAATCTGTGTAACTGAATTATAGAAAATCCATTATTAAAACTAAAACAACTTTTATGAAGTTTGAATTAGCAATCCTGTGTAATCAACAGTAAAGAACAGGAAAGGATAATAAAACACTACAAATAAGCTAAGTGAAAAGACAGACGTGAAATTATGCACGTGACCCAAAGAAGATATTTTTTTAGATTATCCAACGAAGGGTTAAAAAAGTATGTACATATTTCTAATCCTTAATTTTAAACATTTCATTGCACTGTACATTGATGGTAATAGACAGAGTTAGTGATATGGTAGAGAAACTGGAAAATAAAATATAAACATTTACCTTTAAAAACTTTTGATATTCATTAGGAGGTTCTAGGTAATATGAAAACTGTAAGATATTATATAGTGTTTTATACTCCTTGCAGGAGAGCTGTTCAGAGTCTGAGTGCAAATAACACATTTTTATGAAAGTTCTTGTTAAATTTCAAACAATTTCATACACTAGTTTTATTTTTTGAAAGGCAAAATGATGAGAGTGACTTTACATACTATCAATCTTCATAGCTGGGAGTCGTAGTGTTAAATTCCAAAAGTATTAGTTATAAATATAAGAAAAAAAAAAAGATTTTGTCAAGTTAATCTATTTCAAATATTCTTTATTTACCTTTAGGCTTACTGTAAAAGATTCTGATGGAATTTCCAATTCAACCTTTGCCAATGTAACAGTTCTGAGGGGTAAGTAAGAAATAAAATAATACAAACAATAGATCCGGTCGTAGGAGCTATTAATATGTGGTAGGATAATGAATGGTGTCTTGTTTGGTTTGTGCTGTACACCATAGCCTAAGACTGTATAGGTTGACAGGGATTATACACTATTTAAAAAAGTGTTCTTGGGAATAGAAATAGCATATATTGTATAGAATAAATCTGAGAAACCACAAGAGACATTCTTGGATATTTTTATTAGGTTGCATAAATATATCATTTAAAAAATGAGCTCAAAAATTCAGGGGCAAGATTCATCTTTAAATACTTAAGGTCAACTAATCTTAATAGCACTTATATTTTCAGAAAATGAAATCCAAGAAGTTTCAGTTCAGTTTGGTATTCATCTTTAGACTGTAATATATTTTATATCTTTTCTGTGCATGTCACAATCTTTTTACAGTTACATTCAAAATGTAATTAAATTACTTTATTATCAATGTGGGCCCGGCATGGCCAGGTGGTTAGGGGGCTCTACTCGCAATCTGCGGGTCGCGGGTTCGAATCTGCGTCACATCAAACATGCTCGCCCTTTCAGCCATGGGGGCATTATAATGTGATGGTCAATCCCACTATTCGTTGGTAAAAGAGTAACCCAAGAGTTGGCAGTGGGTGGTGATGACTAGCTGCCTTCCCTTTAGTCTTACACTGCTAAATTAGGGACGGCTAGTGCAGATAGTCCTTGTGTAGCTTTCCTCGAAATTCATAACAAACAAACAATTATTAACGTATATGAATAAACTTCACATCAATATGCAGTTAATAAACCAATTTTAATATTATATAAGTTTTAATTTATAAGGAAATATTATAAAAAATCCTCAACCTCCCCTAGAATAAGAATTGTAATATTTTGCTCTCTCGGTCTCCTTTCTTCTCTAATATATTTGCCACCTCTTTGAGATGTATATAATTTAACATAAGTTACTAATTATAATATAGTTATTACTTTAGCAAAGCATAATTTTTATAATCTTCAATTTTGTTTGTTTACAGAACCATTTGCCATGCCCATCTGTCACATCCTGTCTTTCACAATTTATCATTAGTGCTCTCTTATGCTTAATACTGTATTATTTATAACCAGTTGAAAGCCAAAGATTTACTCTACCGATTGACTATTATATTACATTGTTTTCTATACACAGAATTGTCTGTTTCACTTCCACTTCAAACTTTATTTTCATGGGAAACACATTGATGGGCTTAAATGAATTTTGAATGGCTCTTATCTCATAGTTAGAAAATTATGATAGTTATAGGACATTGTTTATTTTCACATGTTATTATTCTGTGTTCTCAGGTGCATTATTTGATTAGATAAAAAATTATTTAGTGTAGTAGTACCATTAGTATAAAAAAGTAGGGTTAAATTTCATCGACGGTCAACAGCAAAAAACAGGAAGACCCAGATAAGTATTATATTTTTTGTTTTTTATGTGTAATATATTAATTACTATAATAGTAATAAAAATGTAAAACATAGAAATTATTAGATTAGGTAAGATAATGAAAAAAAAAATTCTTCATGAGGTATGCTTGTGAGCAACTCATGTGTTACATAATTAAATACAGTAATGTGAGCTGCACATTTGCTGTGTGATTTACAACTTATGTGGGGGGATTATTAGTTAGACATGTTCAAAGGTCAATAAAACAATAAAATTAACTATAAATAGATGTATACTGTTACAAGCTTTAAGTTTTTTAGGATACAAAATTGTGGTTTCTTGTTACAATTTACAGTCATCTAGAAAGAAAAAAAAGGTAATTTAGATTTATTTCTTAATTTTTATGGTGGTTATGAGGTCAGTCAAATTGACTGACCCAATATACTATCAGGGTAGAAAAATTATAAAGGTTTTTAAAAAAAAATATTTGGTATTTATTTAGGAGGTTTTAGAGATTATGCAAATAAAATTTGACAGTTTTCAGATGAAAATAAGTATTTTTAATTTTAATTTGAAAATCACTTTGCACTTGGAGCAGTCAACACCTTAACTATATATTCACTGAGAAATTTTTTATGTATAAAAGTCTTGTAATGTTCACTGATAGCCTGTGAAATTTCCTGAAGATACGCATACATTAATAAAATTTATAGTATAACAAATCTCGTGGTTACTTTGGTGGTTATGAATTAGGTGCATTGCACCTCTCCTGTATGAAAAGAATTAACCTTAAGAGCCAGATTCTTATATTCAAAGAAAACCCAATTTAATAATTACTTTTCAAGTCTCTTAACTCTTTCAACATGGGCTTGGTCCCTGTGACTGACCTCGTAACCATTATGTGGTTGTTATAGCGTTTATGCTATAACTTTTAAATTAGTAAGTGAATGTTAACAAAATTTGGCAAATTATCAGTAAACATTACAATGCTTTCATACGCAAAATATCAATTTTTTGTTATCGAGTCTTAAGGTTTGTAAAGCAATTTTTTTATCGTCTTTTTTTTTCTTTTCATATGTTGCCTATCTGTCATGCAAAGTAATATTCATTTTAAGATTAAAAA